GCAACACAACTGCAGGAGGTGCAAACTGACCAACTGAGCAGACGGAAGCCACATGTAAAAGAAGCAGTAACTTGTAGATTAAACAGAGCATTTGTCAATGTTAGTTCTTCGTTCCAGTGTATTCTCAAGTTTGTGTCATTCAACTGCCCACAAAGCTCTTAAGCTTCTAGCTGGTTCAGCGCTTTCTATTCTTCACAAGCCGAGTTTATACTCCTTTTGTCAATACTTTTGTCAAAACTAACGATAGAATTTTTGTTTGTCAATAAAAAAAGATATTTTCAATTGCTAAATATGTGTAGTTAGTTAGACTCATTTGTAATTTTAGAAAATTACGTATTTGTAGTTTATATTACGTTACTGACACAATTTTTTATGGGACGTGTGCAAAAAGGTAATACGAATTTTGTGCATATAGTTTGAACCGACTATTTGTAGACGTAAAAAGTGTCGTTAAGTAATAAAAAATTTGCTTTTCAATTTATCATAAAACTGATCATTACAAGGTTTTTGTAAAAAACAGTAAGGTAATTGCTTGTTTTTAATTGGAAAAAACCTATATGATGCCAAATTACAGCAGAACTGCTGAGAACAGCTAAAGACTTAGTGTAAACAGTTTCTTTTTGCTTGATCGCTCTGAGAACTAGTCAACAGCTGTAAAAAATTTTGATATTTTTAAGGATAGATTCGTTAACCAATACTACTTAATTTATTTACTAAAGGGTAAAATTCGTTATTAGAAGTGGTGTAAAAGTGTACAGTAATAGCTAGACAGTTTAGCTTGGTATATAACCCTGCACTTTGTGTTATGAAACCTTTTTTTTCACATTAGACACTTAGCAAAGTTATCTTACTACAATCAAATACTAAAAAAAGCCAAAGACAAATAAGTGAGTTATTTATACATACAAAGTACTTCTTAAATGTGATTTACCACAATCAAACAAATCCTAAGTAAAATCCTGATTGAAGAGAGTAAAAAATATAGTGCGAACTAAATTGTCGTCAAGTTCGTGAACGCAACTATACAGTGGATAAATCTTTTTGATTCGTAGAAGAAGCCACTATTGGTACAGACGCCAATAATTTGTACAGGTCCCAGTATTCCATCTGGTTAGATCACTGTTATTGAACATTAATAAAGTAATCTTCTGTGACACCGCAGATGAAAAAAAAGTCAGTTATTGTGCTGTCGAATGTGACATTTTTTTAATATAATACTATGACTTCTTTTTCCACATCTAAACTATAACCATAATATAATGTAGAAATTTTAAATGAAGTTTTCTCTTTGAATCAGGTAGACAGAAAAAGATAATTACCTGATCTGTACGATAGCGTTACATCAGCTAACTAACAGTCTGACTTCTTTTTTATAAAAAATTTGAAGAGTGAGAATTTGCTGTGTAGTCAGCAATTTAGTGGTGATACTCTGTGAAACACGAGGTTAATGACTGTAAATTATAAACGTATAGTTGCTTTGAAAGATTCCATCATTGCTTAAAAACAACCTGGAAAATACAATTGATCAGTGCAGCACAGGAATCCGATAAAACTTCCTGTCACATTGTAGTTGTCAACGAACGTATAAAAGTGTTTTATCGTATGTCCGTAATGATCAAGTTTTTTCATTTAGACATTTGCACTGCATTTGCCGTTGCCTATCCACTGCTTTGCAATCATTATGCAACAGAAGAACCGCCGCTCAGTCAAAGTATTAAGGCAATCACTGCATGCTAAAGTTTTCATGTTTATCAAGAACTTCAATTTTGCAAGTCTTTGACAATAAAATAAAAAAAGATAAAGAATTTTAAGCTTCAATTAGTATTTAATATGTTCAAATTGTGCGTTAAAGAGGAAACTTTATTTTTTTGCTTCAGTAATTCATCAACAATTTTTTGGCAATAAATTTCCAAAAAAAAAAAAAACGCTCAAAATACTTTCATTTTTGTGCAGCTTATTCTTTATACTCTTTGCAGACAGTTTTTGTTCAAAAAAGATTGAAAAAAAAAAGTATTATTTCTTTGAAAGTCTTTTTAAAAAATTTTACAAAATAAGTGCTTATAAAGAAAAAATGATCAGTTTCTGAAATTAAAAAAGTAACTGTACCATAAACATCTTTAAAATCATCACATATTAGACGATAATTACAGAAAAACATTCAAAGACAAAGATTTTTTCTAATTAGAGAATTCTTATTGTTTTTGATTCTTGAAAATTTTGTATTTAATCTGATGTTTGATGTCTTTAAAAAGTTCGGTAAAAAAGTTAACTTTACACAGCGAATTGTCTACTAATTTTTATCGTTGAAACAGTGGTTGTCAACAGCTTTAACAAGTTTTTAAAATCAACTATCAAATTTTATTGCAGCAGAACAGCAACAAGGTTTTCGTGTTGGTCTGCAAATGTATAAAACTGGTTTTTGAACTGCAAAATCAAGAAAAAAAAAAGTCATTAAAAAAAAAGCATTGTTTGATTTTGCTGTGAAAAATCTTTTATATGCTTCTTGATTTTTTTTTTTTCGTCAAGTTACATCTTTGCTGTTTTTGCTCATTCAGTGAATAGCAGTTACGGTTGAGCTAAAAATGACGATAAACTGAAATTTGTTCCTCCATCACTGCATCTGTACCAAAAGGTTATATTTTATATCAAGTTTTATTTTCCTTTGTTAATAGCTTGGTAAGTTTTTTACTGTTTTAGTCACTCTTATTTATACATATTTAGTTGTTAATTGTTTTCTGTAATTAAAACAATATTTCAGGTAGTAGTTAGAAAGTTTTAAAAAAATTTACCACGTACTATTGTTTTACCAGTTTCTCGATTTGGTATTCTCACTAAACAGACAGAATTAACATTTGATACTTTACGTGGCCTTTATTGGTTCAATGTATTCGCTCTTTATACTTATTGCAGTATTTCAAATGGCTCTTTTAACGGTTCGTAATTTTTTTTTTCAATTTTTTTCTGTTTTTTTTTCTAAATACGTGGAACTATCTTTGTCATTCTGATAGTAATCAATAAATGAATGAAATTCGTCTAATGATTTCTCGTTTCAACGCTAACAATTGAACAATTGTTCACAGCGAAAAATCAAAAATTTACAGTGCCATAATTGTTCATATTTTAATAGGATAATTTATTAGTGTTCAATAATTTACCAGTTAATACCGGGGGACAAACACTATAGCTAAAGTAGCTGTGTTTTTGACTGAACGTTACATTTGATAAGCTTTTAATAAACGTATAAAGAATTGTCTACTAAAGAAGTTCATATAGTATTATTTTATTACTATTTATGATTCTTAAATGCATCGAAATGTTGGTGTAAAGTCACAGTAGATATCTCTCGTATCCACCTGTAAAGCACTCAAGCTCAGGCAACCTGCTTGACTGTGAACAGTATTTAGGTTTTTTATACGCTTACATTGCCCCATATTCTACGGCTTGTAAAACTTTGTCAGAAATATTTCTTTACACTACTGAGAAAAACAGTTTTATTTATTCTGATTTTACTCAATTTTAAAATTCAATTTTGCAACAAATATACTGAAAAATTTGATAATATTAAAATACGCCTTCTGAAAAAAAAAAAGTAATATAACAATAAATATATGCGTTAAAACTGTGTAACTAAAAATTTTTGACTGTTTTCGGTTGATAAATTTCTCATTTATGTACACTTTAATTAATGATATTTTTTGTTAAAACTAAGTTTAAATGTTGTCATAAAAAAGTAAGACAAAATAAAGTTTTTTAACAAAATGAAAAATAGGGCTTTCTAAACTTTTGTTAAAAATAATACTGTCTATTTTGATACAGTTTATCAACACAAATGACTGGAAACAAAAATTTTTTTCAAAAGTGTCAAAACCAGGCATAATTTATCAATAATTTAAAAGTAATTAAATAAGTACAGTGTCATTTATACAGAATCAATGAATAAAATGCTATATTGTATGTTAGTTGAATAATACCTTTTTTGAAATGATTTATACTGTTAAAAAACATAAAATAACTGATAACTTTCAAAATACATTATCAAATATGATAAGGCTTCAAAATTTTTATTTAAGAGTTTATGCGTAAGTTTTGCCACAATTTTAGTTGTTGTAGATACTCCGTAAACTTCTTACAATGATTCGATTCCACAATTTATGCAGACGATTTCAGTATCATAAAAATGCAGTTTTTTCTCAGTATGACAATAAAATGAATAACTATAAAAAGTTGTCTGTGTATATCACAGAAAAATTTATCCCATTAAGGCAAAATCTATCCAATTTTACAATTTTCAATATCTGCTAAACAATCGAACTTAATATATGCTCTTTCATTACCAATTAACAATGCTTTACATATTTATATACACTAAGCTTTATCAGCTATGGTTTACTTTTTTGCGTTATTTAAAAAAGCGTCGAATAAATTTGACAAAATTAGTTTTTTAAACAGCATATTTTTTAAATTTTGAAAACACTGTAACAGTTTGATACATACAGAGAGATTTACAATAATTATATGTAGAGAATTTTTTTGTTAATAATTACAAAAAAGTATTAACCAGATCTTCAAAAAAATCTAAAAATTCAAAATTTATGGTTTCTTGGAATCTTTGAAAGCGAATTCGTTGCTTTTTGCAAGTCTCAGTTGAGTTTTAGTAATAAATAATGATTGCCATGATCTAAAATAATTTAATTATCTAAAATGTTGAACTTTCGTATAGCGAATGCGAAAATACATTTGCTTTTATTGTTTCTGATTTGAACAAACAAGTAAACATTGAGAAGAATTGACTAAAATTAGTAGTAAATAAAATTTTAAAACATATATTCGTTTTCAACACTGTTTACCTATTCTATATTCAAATATTTATCTATTATTATCTTAGAAAACTGTGAAATCTTACTAAACTTTTGACACTATTCATTTTTAATCTTAATTTATCATTCTTTATTCATTATTCTTTTCTTTGAAAGGAATTTTTTTTTGTTATTAGTCTTTTAATGGTTGTTGTAAAACTGTCATTTCAGTCTGCTTTTGTCAACCAAATACCAACATTATCGGAAATTCGCAGCATCAACGATCCTGAACTGAACAGTATTTTCGAAGTCGAAACTACTGAAAGACCTCCAGAGCCACAGTTTTTAGACAATGGTTACAGTTGGAAGTGGAAGACTAAAGAGATATTAATAGAAAGAGATAATGACTTCAAAGCTTTTGAGTACGTTTTACTTCGAAGGAAAAAAAAAATTACAAAAAAATAACGCAGCTTAATACTTTCTTTACTTCCTAGTTTATAGAACTCTAAAAATTTGCAGTTTAGTAATGCAACTTGAACATTTAATCTTTAGAGTACCACTAATTTTCCACACTTTTTTTTTTACTGTACTTAAAGAATCATTAAAGGCAAGACAGCAGAGAACGTACGAGACAAAATGTACATCATTTGGCGCAGGCCGGAGCTGAAGCTTTCGTTAGCGGAGCAAAAGCTTTTGTTTCTGGGGCACAACAGGTCGGCGAAGCCTTTGGTGTCAGTTCCAGCGATCTGCTAGACGTTGGTAGGGCATTTTTAGGCAAACGGTAGATGTTGAATCAAAGTAGGCAATACACCAAATTTGTTAAGTGATGTACAGCAAAATGTAGTAGTTAAACTTCAAATAAGGAAGTACATTAATTTTAAAATAAATTATTTTGAACTTTTGCAAATTGTTTTTAACACAAGAAAGAGTTCAACTGATCAGTTTGTTGTTCGCGGTTGCAATTCTACAAAAAGCTATAGAAATTTAATAATGTTACTTCTAATAAAAATGCTACAATGCAAATTTTTTTTAAAAAAATTTAGATAGTAAAGATTAAAGACCTTATACCTCTAAAACCAGTTTTCCTATTTTTTTCATCTTTATGCTTATGACCTTCAATTTTCCTCAAAAAAGCATATCTGAACTGTCTGTCACTTTGGTTGATCAAGTAGAACCAAATCATTTTATTGAGGCTTTTATGCTTTACTAATCTTTGTTAGCTAAACTATTGAATAGTGTGCTAATACTGTCGCTAAAAACTTAAATATAATAACTGAAGATTGGCAGAAAAAAAATGAACAAAAAATAAAACCTTTAAAAAACTGCTCAAAGTCTTGTTAAAAATTGTGCATAACGTGCTTTTTTTCCATCTTCTTTCCTTTCTAAGCCATACCTTACTTTCCAAAAACTGGAATTTTTCTACTAAGATAACAGAAGAGCTAAAGAGTCAGTGAAACATCATTTTGGTAAAATATATCTTAAAGAGGATTTTTACGTAAAAATAGTTTTTTTGGCATTGACAAATACTTAGAAAATGTTACTAGTAAAAAACGAGTATATAACTTCGATACATCTATATCTCTCCGTATTATCGGGCAAAATGCTGCTTGCAAAGAAGGCAGAAAGTAATTTTCATAATACAGTGTACAAATAATGACCACAACGGCAGTACTTACAATATGCAGAAGCGGTAATCTCATCTGTAATTTACAACTGATAAGCTGCTGCTGAAATGATCAGAAACTGTAAAACACGTTTAAAATTATTCCAACAGTTTTGCATTCAGGATCAGCCAGTTGTTCATCTGTTCAAGAGCCAACTTAACAAAAAAAAAAAAATCAAGCTTTTCTAAAGCAACCAAGGAGAAAAACAATAGAATACAGGAGTCTGCTCAGGCGAGCGTTTGAAGAAAAATTCTCATAAAAAACTGTAGCAGAAATTTGTTATAATTTGTTTATTTTTTAGTTATTAAGTTGTTCAAAAGAAATCGTTGATTTGTTCTGATGACAATATAATTATTGAAGAAACGAAAACAAAAAGGGATAAGATCATCATCAATATTTTGTTATGTAAAAGTTGAAAAAATATTCATAAATGTTGTAATGTTTCTTTTATCGGTAACATTTTTTCACGATAATATACGAAGTTTTTTTCTTCTCTTTTAGTTGCGGTGTCTATCAGAGCAACAAACTTTGCCAGACACAACCAATGAGTCACATTGTATAGTCATCAATTTATCACCCCATTAATAAAAACATATTTTTCATCTCGCAACAGTTCCTCATACAATTTTTTTTCCAAGTTTTTTTTTTACGTCATATTCAGATTAAACAGAAATAAAAAATAAATAGAACAAAAAAAAAAAAAAAA